ACAGAACAAAATCTATCCTTTTTACCATTAGACCACTAGTCATTTTTTAATACAACCTCGATTTTCTTACTCCATAACCCTTACAGAAGTAAGCAAAGGAGAGTAGATAAGGCTTCTTCAACGTAATAATAAAAATCAGCATGCAGCCCACAAGATGAAATTCAAAATCAGAGCTCAAATGTAAAGAACATGATTTACCATCTTAGTTTTTTCTTATTGTCTCACTTGTAACAAAATTGTAGAAATAAAAGGCACATGCTTTTCCTGTTTCCTTTCCTTTATACATTTCTCTTCCCTTCTATTCAGTACAGTGGGTTTTTACTTACAACAATACAATTCCTAAGTAGTTCAAAATGTGAAGTATCAGTACTTGAGATGACAAGCTATCATTTATACAGAGCAATATGATAATTTTGGAAGGACAGGGAGGTTGGGTATGGATTCTAATTAACACTGATGAACCTGGTTCCTAAAGATTAAATTCCCACAGGAGTAACTGATACCTTTCTACACACAGGTCTATCCAAGTTACTCTCATTAAAACAATTAAAAAAAAATTATAAGCTTCAGTCTGTGTCAAGATATTGAAGGCTTTCCAAAACTGATTAGAAATATTAAATGAGGTATTGAACTACATTAAAATCAACCTTTTTCATGTATTTGAAAAGTAATGGTCTAATTTGTATCCAAGTGCATTTATTTCTAGTGAATAATAATTGTATTGCAGCCAACTTTGTGCCCTGTTTCTCTGAAAACCTCAAGGGATGTACAGAAGACAATTTTGTATCCTGCTGAAAACTCACACATACTGTGTGACATTGCTTCTTATTCTTCAGTTCTTATAGGAGGTTTAATTTTGCTTCATTTTGTGTTTATTTTTCCAGTGATTGTTCCTTCAAACTGATAAACACAAATGAAAGTGCATAACTATTAGATATACTGATAGATTCTGGAAAGCACCATAAGCTAGATACAAGTACATGGAAATGTGTCAATGCCTTTGAAAGGGGACTTGCAAATCAGAGCTTTATAACAATATATTCTTGTTTCCTTGTTTTCTCTGTCTGTGGAATTTGGAACTGCCTGTAGCCATATGATGTTCAAAATAAAACCAAAGTGATTATCACTACATCTGCCCTTTAGAAGAAAATCTAACCTGCAGGAGTTGAGAAAATGGTTATTTCTTAACATTCAACTCTCTACTTGGTCAGACAAAACCAGGCTGGTAGACAGAGAGCTAGGACTATAAATGGCCCAAAAGGTTGTGACAAGTGGCACGAAGTCCTGCTGAAGATGAGTTCATAATGGTGTGTCCACACAGTCAATACTGTGACCAACACTGTTTAACATCTTCATTAATGGCCTGGATGAAGGGGCAGAGCATACCCTCAGCAAGTTTGCAGGTAATATAAAATGGGGAAAAGTGGTTTCTAGCATCATTCTGCCATCCAGACAGTCCAAAATTAGTTGCAGGGGTCATGCTGCCATCCAGAGGAACCTCAACAGGATGGAGAAATGGTCTAACAGGAACTTCATGAAGTTCAAAATGAAGAAATGTAAAATTCTGAATATAGGGGGGGGAATAACCCCATGCACTAGTACAGGCTGGGGTCTGACTAGATGAACAGAGGAAGACATGGAGGCCACATCTGAAGTGCTGGGGCCAGTTCTGAGCTCCCCAGTACATGAAAGATATGAACCTACTGGAGTGAGTCCAGTGCAGTGCCACAAAGATGATTACAGGAGTGGAGCATCTTTCAGTAAAGGGAAGGCTGAGAGAGTTGGAACTGTTCAACCCAGAGAAGAGAAGGCTCAAGGGGCTGGGGCAACTCAACAATATAAACACATCTGATGGGAGGCAACAGAGGAGAGGGAGCAGGACTCTTAGTAGTGGCCACTGACAGGGCAAGATGTAATGGGCATGAACTAAAAGACATGAAATTCCATCTGAACACAGGAATATACTTGTTTACTGTGAGGGCAATCAAACACTGGCACAAGTTGCCCAGAGAAGTTTTGGGGTTTCCATCTGTGAAGATGTTCAAAACCCAACTGGACATGGTCACAGGCAGCCTGCTCTAGCTGACTCTGTTATAGCAGCAAGATTGGCCTATTGAATCTCAAGAAGTCACTTCCAACCTCAACCATTTGGTCATTCTCTGACTCCTTTGAAGACTTTGTTGTTGCCTACACTAAGCTCCCAGAGTGCAGTAAGTGCCTTACCATTTCAGACATATACATTTTATTTTAGCATATATCAAGTTCCTTTCCACTATATCCCATCCCCATGCTCTTTGCCCCTCTCTTTCTTCCCATATTCTCCTGGCTGCCCTCAGGAAGATTTCTGCCACTCATTTCCATTTCCATATAGCTTTCCAGACACTGTCTTAGCCTGTTTGTCAGCCTGTTTCCCTGCATGACCGTCCTATATTACATCTCTTCTCTTCTGTCCATGCCATGGCCACTAGGGATACATGGTCTTTTCTGGCCATCACGTTTAGTCCCATCCTGAACAAGAGAAACTTATTCTTGCCTGCACAGGTTCACAAAACTGTGACAGCTTTAGTGCTGAGAGCAGCTTAAAACTTCTGCCCCTAATGAGGAACAGTGGCCATTTGATGTAGAGAAGAAATTTTATGAGTTTGAAAGCAGAAAATAAAATAAAAAATAAACAACATGGAAATTCTTACAAAATGGTATTAGGAGATGTATGATAAAAAATAACAAGAATGGAAAAATGTTTTGAAACAAAAAGAAACATGATTGAAAATTAAAAGGAGGGTGGATTAGGCAACAAAAACATTTCAGTCTTGGTCAATACTTCTCCCTGTAGCAATAACAGTGGGTTACCAATTTCATCTTGTGTCACTTGGGATGGAAAATGTTAGAACAAAGAAAATGTCAGGATAAAGGAAAGAAAAAAAAAAAAAAGTTGGGCACTTTTATCACCAGGACTTTCAGCCCTTAAATATGAAATCTAAACATTGTCTTTCACTAGCTCAAGATTCAAATTCCAACACCACCCATAGGATCTACTATTTTCTTCTGAATGTCCATCATCTTTATGATCCCCTAACCTCGTTTTTGTCTACCTCCTTCAACTTCAGCTAATTTTTTATATTATGTTATCAAATATTGTTTCAAAAATATTGCATCCCACAAGATCTGCAAGAAATTGGTGAACACTTAGTAGCTACCCTGTAGTCCATGCTCTCCTACCATACCCTAGGTTGCCATCAGTATCTAAGCAATTTAGTTTAAAGCAATGTCAAATATGTCTATATGTCTAGAAACTGCAGTATAATTTATCCTTATGCATCATTATGGATCATATACAACAAGTGAAAGCTTTTGTTCCTACTGAGGTAGGCAACTCTGGAATGCAAATGGTAAATCCTGAATTTCAGACAAGCAAATGATTGCCTATCAAAACCCCTTTCCAAACTGGTCCCTAGGGTATTGCATACATGTAAAGAGGGAAATTTGAAAAATTCAGACAATTGCCACAGGCTTCTTTAATTCTAACAATACTTCTCACTTGCAGATAGAAGCACAAGTCTGAAGGAGGAAATAATAGCTAAATGGATATTAGTATATGCCATTACCTGATCTATCTGCACAATTACAGCAATCTATAAATGCTAAATTTGCTTATCAAATTTGCTTAAGAGCCTAAAAACAACCACTTTTCAGGAATAATACATCACTTCAGAGTTGTTTGGAACTGACTGAATTTAAACTTAGAGGGGAAAAAAAAACCACATAGGTATAATGCCTACAGGAGCTGAGAGAAGTAATTGCTTCCAGAGAAACTTCCTAAACCAAACTGAAGGGGGAATACAACAGTCAACTCCATTTCTGAAAAACAGACATTAAAAGGCCAGAGAACTTCACTGAAAATGAGAGTTTTCCTCTCCTTTAACAACGCCAGAAACAGAAATATTAAAACTAAAAACAACTCAAGACACACACAGCTGTCAAATAAGAGTAAATCAGTATCTCTGCTCTGAGACTGTCCTAGTGATTCAGTCAAATAGAATCATTTACTCCAATAAATACTATAAATTGTTTAAGTCATGGTAGCTCTATCAGTTCACAAAAGAGGATGTGACCATCTTTGTACTGACTTACAAGGCTCTCAGTACATTCCCCCAAAAGAAATCATCCTTCATTCTGCCAAAACCAACCATTTCCTCTCCATTCAAAAAACTGAAAACCAGAAAATCACAGATTATACAAGCAATAAATATGGTGTCCTAATGAAGTCAATGGAATATGAAATAAATGAACGTAAAATAATTCCAAGCAGTTACCATCATAATCTACTGCTGCTAACAGAAATATTGTGTAGAAGGTTTTTTAGACATGTTCTAATCTTTGTAGCAAGACTGGTTTTCTACAGATTGTGGTTCTTTAGGAAGAAAATCCCAGTCTTCTTAGAAATCTGTTTGAAACAGAAACAGATACAAGGAACTAAAAGGAGAGTCTCATGGTTACATTTTCATCTATTCTGTAGATCTCATATTGTTATGTAGTTTATTTAGATTGTAAAACTACTTTGATGTCACTGAGGATAGCAAAACTATTTCTTATCACAACCACTTCATTTAATCTTTGCCAAAGAGAAAAAAAGTCAACTAAATATGAACAGTTCAATGTAACACACAAGCCTAGCAAAAAGAAATATTAAAAATATCCAGACTTTATATATGGACATTCAGAAAAAAGAAGTCAGTGAATGTGTACTATTAGAAAGTACCACCGTAGGAGGTGTTACAATCCTAAAGACAGTGAGCATTTTGTTTTTGAGATATCTTTACATTACTGTGAGGCTGCTATTTGCAATATAGTACGTCAATGTCAGAAGAGTAAGAGAAAATTTAAACATGCAAACTAAGACTTTAAAAATGTGTGAAGAGACAGATGCAGCTTGCAGTTCTAAGCTTCCATTCATCCACCTATTCAAGATGGGATGTCATAAAAAGCACCAAAACACATACCTCTTCTTGCTTAGGAATGCTGAACTTTGCTATCTTTGACTTGGTCCTGGCCGAATCAGGCTTGTTAGAAGGCACTCCCCTGTATGACTTGGTTGTCTCTGCTGGTAACTTCAGCTTTGGAGACTCATCAGGGGCCTGATCTTGACCATCCATCGGCCTTACATAGGCTGTTGGTTTCTGCTGAACCAGACTGGGTTTCGAAGCAAGAGATGGTGGAAAGTTTTGGACACAGTGCCCACCGCCGTGCTTTGAGGGCCTCTCTTGCGCTTGAGCTCCTCCTTCTGTGTTACAACTTAGCTTCGCAGGCTGCGGCACTCTGTTGGCGTTGTCACCTAGTGTGGCCCTCAGTGAGCTTTGCTGAGCAGCGTTGGAGGAGGAGGAGGATGAAGTGGGACTAGATGCATAGCGTTTTAGTTTCTCCAGACTGGATTTTTGGTTCGCCAGTTTGAAGTCGCCCTTGTGTGACTCCAGTGAGTGGTGCCCATGTTTGCTGGCTCTCTGCTGGCCCTCTGAAGTGGCATTGTGCCCAGCCTTCTGCCAACCCATTGTGGTGCTTTTGCTCTGCTGCGTGGGTAGAGCTGCTGGTGTGGAAGAAGAAGTGCTGGAAATAGAGGGAAGAGGTGGCGGTCTTGAGTCTGCAATAAGATGTTCATCGGGCTTGGGGAGAGATGCCTGAGGAACCCCAGGTTTGGGAACCCCAACAAGGTGGCTCTGGTTTGATCGGTCAGTTAACAAGTCTTTCATTTCATCATAGTTGCCCAGGGTATTCTGGATGCGATTTGATAGCTCATCCCCCTTGTTGGTCTGCAAAACAAAAAGTGAGAATTCCACAACAGTCAACGTAAGACAAACAAAATTCCCTGCTTGCTTCTGCTGAAATCCTTACTGAAGTAGCACTGCCTTATTCAGCAGCAGCGTTGAGGGATGAAATCGAAAATCCTTATTGTCTCTGAAGACACTTGTCAACATCTTAAATCTACCCTGAACTGGAAAAGCTATAAAGGGCCTTAGAGTATATAAAAAAAGAAATCTATCACTGGCATCATGCTGTAGTTAAAATATATTACCTGGAAACTAGAAAATTTATTATTGCAACTCCACAGAATGGTTTGGATTAAATCTAACCATGATAAAACTTTTCCTATAGCCCAGTGCAGGCTCTCCTTCAGCCATGAATGAAAATATTGCATTCTTGATTTCCTTCTCTGCCTGCTTAAGTCTCCACATTGCAACTGGGAAGCCTCACAAAGCCCAGTGTAATTGTTGAATGAACTCCCCAGTCTAAGCCAGCCAAACGCTGTGAGGTGACTTGAAGACAGGTCACGGCATGATGGGAAAACTATAGATCATTACATCCCTTCTTTGAAAGTACTCTGCTGAGATGCTTACTCCAAGGCACTTGCCTCTTTGAAGAAAAACAAACAAACAAAAAAAACCAAACAGAATCCCCCAGATTCTTCACAATGCTCAGTGGTTGTAGAAGGGACATAGCCAACATTTCTCTGCTTTAAGATAAATCGTTGTTTTTGAAATCACCCATTTGCTTCCTGACTAAAGAGGCAGAAACTCCACAAAGAAATATAACAAGTGAAAGAAAAATACTGAGAAGGGTTGAAAAATATTTCTTTAAAAAGCCTCTGCAAGCAAAAGTGTGTATCATTAGCTTTTCTGCAGTGAAAAATTTTCTGAACCCTGCCAAGAATCAGCTGTGTGATGTTCTTTGCTTTACATTTTCAGAGGAAGATATTAATGAGCTGGTGGTGTTCTCCTTTCTCTCTTCCAGACATGGAATCTGGATGGGGAAACACCCATTGGCTTCAGAAGGCCAAGAAGATCTTGAGATGGATCTTGGTTTAAGAGGGAATCAGTTTCTTGGAGAAAGAAGAGGGTAAAGGGAGAGAAGAATACCCCCTTAAAGTTATATAAAAACATGAAGGACATAGTGGCAATACCAGTCACTCTGGAAATGTGAAAGTGTTTTATTATTTTTTTAAGACTTCCAATAAAATTGAATAATTCAGAAAAACTGTAAGGGAAAAGGACTGAAACTCCTTTTGTTCAAAATCTTCTTTAAAGGGTTTCCTAAAAAGAAACTAAGTCCAAGCAAAAATGCCTTGTAAATGTCGACAGTAGAAACAGTCTTGTTTTGCTTGCAACTTGTTCCCTCAAGTTTCAGGGAGAGTACCTTGCAACTACTGAAAATATTTGGCTAGCTTTCTGATATGCATGTAACAATGGTATCTAACAACATTTAATATATGTTGAGGGGAAGTGGGAAGGGAAAAGCTCAGTAATGTTGCATCTGAAACATTGCTTTGCAAACTTGCTGTAAGATGGATCAGCTTCTATAGCCCGATGTTCTCTCCGCATATGCAGCTGTTGTCACAAGGACAGTAACCTGCTACACAAAGAAATATGAACCATTAATTCACAGACAGCACGTGGCTTAAGAAGGGGATGTTTCTTCACTTTCTTTGAAACCACATTGGAGTCCCAGATAAAAGGTTATTACTAAAGAGGCTTCAAAAGCAGGAAGCATCATGTACTTCTAAAAAGAAAGTGCTGCAGATGCAATGAGTTGTCTAGTTCACAACCTTAACTGGGGTAGAAAACGTGAGCAGATTAAGAGGCACAGAAGGCATCTATGTGGGAGTGTTTGGCTGATATTGAGGAAAAAAATAATAAAAAAAGACCAGCTTTAAAAAACGACCAGCATGGAGATCCTGGGCTGCTTGGAGGACAGATTCATGGCTCTATGGAGTTAGGTTGATTGATCTTGAAGATGGTTGGACACATATATATGTGTCTCCTGGGGTCAATCAAATGGTTTCTACACTTAGGCATCTCCTTGACCAGCAGAATTATTTTCTTGAAAACACAGAGAAGTTTTCTTTACCGAGTGGATCCCTTCTGCATTTCCTGTGGATCCTCTAACTTGTGTAGATACCTTGCAGAGAGATGCATTTGCATCTTTCCTCAAGGGATGGAGATCTGCCCTTGGGTCTGTGCCCAGCCTGTCTCAGCCAGCCTGTGCTTCAGGTTTCCTCAAATTTCAGGAGTATGTCAACAAGGACCACAGAATGGAGTAGGGCCCTTGATACAACTTGTCAGACAGCTCTCTATCCAGCTGCCTCTCGATCTATGGATGTAAGAGAATTTATGTCTAAGTTTTGCCACAGGAAGCCCAGCTTCCCTAAGAGAAGGTCCATTCTTTCTGACTGCTGTTTTTTGAATGGGAAAAAATAAAAGCCTAATTGCAGATTATCTGTAGATTATCACCAGCCCAGAAAATTTAGTAGATTTTCTTCTATATGGATAAGATATGTATGTCATACAGAGATGCATCTTATTGATAGATGCCAGATAACCACAATAGCAGCAAACAGACTGAACGTTTGTATCATTGCATGGGCTGTCAACTGGTTGGTGTTGTTTATTCCTTCTGGATAAACTGGGGACGTCCTGAAGTGAGATTCTGTGCTGAGCTGAGCTCATCTGGAAGAGCTGACCTACATTCTCCCAGGAAACAGATGGGATCTGAGGTAACTTGTTATGAGCTTTAGATGTTAAAGTTTGTCCTATTATTTGCTCTGAAATACTGCTGGCTTTATTTAATCATTCACATAGGGAAAACATAATCACAAAATGAGTAAGTGGGAAAAGCATTCTGTGCAAACATTTCTAACTTACATTGCTCTATGTTCTGCTAAGTAAGATGTATCCATACATTTGAAGACTTGCAGGATCCAACAGTTCTAAAAATAAACCTGATGGTTGCATGGAAGGACATCAGAATTTTTTTTTCTTCATAAAAAAACACACTGATATGGTTAATGAGGCAAAGTATTCTGTCCAGAAAATATCCAGAATGAAATTCCTACTTTTTTACCTCCTTTAAAAGACATTTCTAGTAAAAAGACACTGGATTTCCTGTAATCCTTCATAGAGGGTTGCTATGGATACTTTGAAATAAAGAGGATAAGGGGCAACCCAAAGAGTCAAGATTTTTCAGAAAATCTGATGTTTCAGGAGTAGTGAGACAAGTCAAGGTGAGAGAGGACACAAGATTTAAGAGATTTCCAGTCTGTCTTTGATTTTCAGATATGGCCTTCTGAATGGCAAATCCTCTGGCTTTAGCTCATGTTTCTCAAGCTGTGCAGAGGAATACTGAATTTGATCAGAGCTTGCAGTGAATGTCTGCTGTAGCTTCATTCCCCTGTGGAAACATCTAAAACTTGTACACAGTCTTTAAATAAGGTAAGAGTCGGTTTCAGCTTTGCTTTTACAGAAAGGTTACTTCTTCTTCTGTCTCTCTCTACAATAAGATAAAAATGATGAAGGCATAGCTCTGCATCCCCACACTGAGAGCTCAGAAATACTCAGATGATGTCAGACAGCCCAATAGGTCCATTGTCAGTGTGGATGTGACATGCAGAGTATCCCACTGATGAAGTTTTGGTGTCCAACACTGTCAGAATGACTGGTCTTCCCAAGCAGCTGTGACTGTCATGCCAGAAGAACAGTGGTCAACTTATACAGCTATCCTGAGCTTTTCCTATCTCAGTGTTTCCTTGAATAAGTCAGCTGTAGGATGGATCTCTGCAGCACCTTTTCTACAGGCTAGTCCAAAATAGAGCCATAGCGTTTAAAAGTGAGAAGTATGGATGAAGCCTTTATTCTGACCTCCTTGTGGGGTACCCACTAAGTATTCTCACTACTTCTAGAGCATGAAGTGAATTTTTGTCCATTTCCGTTACAGTGGATGGAATTATACTGTGGTTGCACACAAATGCCTTCAAACATCATAAATAACTCGGAAACTACTGATATGTCCATGATACATGATGTCTGTGGCAGTCAGTAACTGGGACATAGGTAGTAATCAAGGTGTGCAAAATATCATACTAAAAAATAATAAATAAATAAATAAATAAACTGTATCAGGGACCCAGCAAAAAGACGTGCCCTTTTTTTCTGAGGGGTCTATTTTGGACCTACCAAATGGAAAATTATTAGTCCCTGTTGCAGCGGAGCCCTCCCTAAATGCCAAGAGACAGCTAACTTTAGTTTTTCAGGCATTTTTCCATGTATTAGTCCTTGATTGGTCTCACGGTAGACTTTTTCAAGTGGAGCCGTAAGGAGGAGTTCAAGACATTTCCCATGATTTCTAAATGTCTTTGTAATGAATCTGAAATTTGGGCAGCTGGAAGTCAGCTTCAAGGCAGACAGAGCTGTCTTCTGTCAAGGGACATGGTTTGAAAGTGGTAGATCTTTCTTTTTTATTAGGGACTAGAAACGGCAACACTCTGGAAGGAATAGGAAGTTAAAAGCTGACCCTGAAATACAGGTAGAAACACGAAAGCACTGAAGTCAGGTGCAGGACCCAAATGCCAGGTCCCAAATGGGATTCTTGGAAAGAGGCACTAAAGCACCCAAAGCATCAAGGACAAGTGAAGCAGCATGGAAGGGAAAGGCTTCACAGCATGGTGGATTTAACAGCAGCTTGGGCATTACTGGAAGGTCACAACAGAAAATGCATGACATAGCTTTGATGCACACAAGCAAAGTCATAGGTTATCTAGGGGAGAGAAGCAGACTCCATGGGATGCTGCTCTCTGGTCTACCCTTCACAAGGACTTGATTGGAAGCTTCTGGAGACAGCAGTTAAGTGCAGAGGATCCTGCTTGGCCCTCCTAACACGAGGTGGGGAGAGATGGTTGTGCCTCATCGCATTAAGTGTTTCCACAAGGGATAAAACAAGGAGTTGAGTTACTTCTGCCTTTGCTGAGGGCAAAACATGCCTAGCAGACAAATGTTGTTAGTAATGCTTATAGGGAAAAAAATCAAAACAAGATATTTCATCACATTAACCTTGGCTAGAGCATAATGTTTACTGTATGGCTTGTCCTTCACACACAATTCTAACGCAATTACTTTCTCCTAAGTGTTGCAGAAGCAAGGCACCATCACCTTCACCTCCTAGTTTTAATGCCACCTCAAATATTGCTAGGATATTTCTCGTTTATTTCATTCTCATGCTGCTGAACACTGTAAGAAGCTAATATAAGAAAAATCCAATTCTCAATGAACCATAAATGTTCTATGCAAATTTTGTGAGGCTGGTACTTGTGGGAGGTTGCTGAGACCTGGACAATGCCTTACTGTAGGCTGTGATTTTATACTGTCAAATAAAAATAAATAAATAAATAAAGAGCCACCCAGACAGGAAGCATCTACCTTGTACGGTTCACTGAAGAGGGAGTAACTTGTGTTAAATGTGCCATCCTCCTGCTGGGCCTCCTGATTTCTCCTTTCCCATTCTTTCCTGCGCAGCACGTTTCTATCCGGCTCATAGACACTGCAGCAAAAAGTGGAATAGATTTTTTTTAGAGTTAAAAATTAGCGGGCAACATATAAACCACTGTGAGTTTAAAAGTGAAGAGCTCTGTTTTGCAGACAGATGGCAAAAATAAGCAAGAACATGAATCAGATGAATGCCAGTCCAAGCAGGCTGGGGAGGCTCAGGTCTTTGGGAATGCTGATGCTTTCTTCACACAGAGAATAGATAATTAAATTCTTACAGAAGAATAAAAAAGAAATCGCAGGGCAGGATCTAGTCTGTGCAGAACTTCTCTGTTTGAAATGTGACAAAGGAAATATCTAAGCAACTTTGACAAAGACTGAAAGTACTCTTAAGGCAGATGGTAATTACAGCTATGAGTAAATAGAAATTATGAACATATTTCCACTTATGACATATCCTCTGAGTGTTGTATGAGAATGCTCCTTTTTTTACATGGATGTGTTTCTGTAGTGATTCTTTCATTAACTAGCTCCCTAAAGAGCTGTTAAAACTACATGCTGTAGTGGTTTCCACAGTTAGGCTGCTTCTTCTGATCTCTGTTAATCAGCCAAGTCGTGAAACTACTGCTGAAACAATTCCTCTTTCTGATGGATTTGACACTATCACAACTTCAGAGCATGAATAAATGAATACTGGCATGATAGTGTATGTATGGCTGGTAGAGTGTAGCTGGAGAGGAAATAAAATCACTGCACTACACAACAGTATTAATTTTTAGAAATGAATTAGTCTGGCTCCAATACAGACACATACAAAAAAACCTCTCCCTCCCCCCCAAATTATGGTATAATGCATGACATCATAAACCAGAGAAACCTTTCCCTAAATTTCCTCAGAACAACACAGGTTTAGACATTTCATGCTGTCATTCCCATCACACAGGAAACCAAGGCATCCAGTGTGGTTTACATGCTATTTCAGTAAAATGTAACGAGCGCGCCGATTGCCTATTTTGCCTAGCTCAGCTAATGCCTTTCTTCTGGCACTGTAAATCTGTAAAGAAGAAATATATATTAATGTCATGTAAGTGCACCATGTGTTAATAAAAAAAAAAAAATGTTGCCTTGCTAACCACTTCCCAGTTTGCAAAACATATGTTGCATTGGCTACCCACGTGATGTTACCTAGCGTGCCTCAGGCAAGGCTGCAAAAAGGCCAACAGCTATCTGATTCTAATTCAAGACTTGAGAGAGCTGAAAATACATAGGATATGTTAGACACTAGTAGGATTTAGAAACAATGCCTTAGCAGTCAACAAACAAACACAAAACCTTATGTTTACTTATAAATGCTGCTTACTCCTCATGGACTCCTTCTGCCCTAACGACTAGGTTTCACACGAGGACTTAGGAGGTGGGATCAGACCAGCTCCTGGTGGGCTCTCAGGTGACCCTCCTGATAGCCAGCTAAGGGCAGATGCCCAAGACTGAGCAGAATTTTGTTGTGAACACAGGATTTTAGTACAGCAAGTTGAAGACAGCTAACAACCACTTTTTTTTTTTTTTTCTTCCGCATACTGATGTAATTTTGTTGCTGTTGTTTTTATACTATATTTTTCGTGAGCATGTTATTCACACTAATACTCCCTCTTTAAAAAACAGTGTAATGAGGAGACATTCATAGGAGTGGAGTTTGGGGCAGGAAAACGCCATCCTCCAGGAGGAAGGGACTAGCAAAGGCATCCCAAAGGGGTCCAGATAAGAGACCACGTACTGTGCACACCACTGAGGCCAGGAGGTCGAGCAGCTGTCATTTACTCCTGCATGACCAATAGTCCTCAGGCACGACAGCATGCCATCTCCCTATACTCCCATTGTTTAAGCTGGGATAAGAGACTTTCTAACAAACACCTCTGTGTTTAAAGTAAGCTTTATGCCACCAGGGATAACTGTTATTAGGTGTTGGTTTTTGTTTTTACTTTTTTTTTTTTTCCTCTGAATTTGCAGGGATCCAGTTATAACTTCATCCTCAGCTGCCTTTCCCCATCCCCTGTTGACTCTTTCAGATGCTTTGCATTTGGATTGTAGCCTGCAGTCAAATAAAGATGGGCAGCTCCTCTGAGATTAATTATAATACTGATCCCTACCTAGTTTCTAGGAAGTAAACAAGTGCACCGATCTTCACTACGCCTCACACAAATTTAAAAATGCTGTGGTGTGATACTCCTGAAGTGGAGGGACTTTTTATCCCTTTATATGATGAAGACATACAAGTCTCTAATATCCCTTCATTTGATGAAGAACTATTTGATGAAGACATACAAGTCCTCAGATTTCTGAACCCCTTCCTGAATGAGACACTCACTGTTGGCCACACAAATCACAACCTGCAATAATTCAGAATGATTATGCAAATGGAGAAACAGTGTGACAATGCCTAATATGCCATCTATAAGCAGTAAGTCAAGAAGAACTACAAGAGTTGTATTCCTTTGGTAATACAGATGGCGAAATCTCCAGCATTTGCAAGGCTGCTCCTTATTTGCATGAATGTTGCAGAATCACATTTCCTTGAACGTATGTCACCAAATGTATTTATTTATTTTGGTTCAAGGAGAATGCTGCCAACTGCTACAATTGTCTTTATTGCAAACACTTCAGTTAATGGAAAATGATTCTTTTTAATAGTTTTCTTCCTTCTTTTTTTTTTTCCTTTAATTTGTAATTTAAAACAATCCCAAATGCACATGTACCTTTTAACCATTTACACTATGTTCATCATTTCCATAGCTAAGCTGTGTAGTTCACAAAATATCTCCATATTTTTTTACCCCATTGGAGCATCTGTGCATATGCATGTGGTGTACATATGTACATGTATGTATATATATATATACACATATGTATATGTTATATGCACACTCACACATCATTTTATAGGTTAAGAGTTTTGGTACTGTGGGCCAAAATGTTGAAGCAGTTTTGCAAGTCAGGGTAACCAAAGAACATACAACCAGTCATCTCTCAAAAGTCAGTGTCATTTATATTTGTTTTATAGAGGTAAAACTCCAAATTGATTAAATTAAATAGATTTTAAATGGTATATTGTTATTTTTTAAAATGCAGTGCCTGTTTCAAATTCATGCTTAAAGGACATGAACTGAAACATGAGTGATGGGCCAAATACATGCAAAAGATATATATGACCAAATGTTATATTACAAAAATTGCACTATTCTGAATTTAGCACACTGCTTTAAAAAACACACTTTGATTCATCCTAGCCCTAAGATCTTCCAAGAGACATGCTGAAAAGGAAACATCTACCAGTTAATTATGTCCAAATACCAGTTTCTCGGGCTCAAAGCACTTCCTGCACACATCATCCCAGTCACAGCAGCTCTACCTTCTCCGCTTCTCCCAGAACACCCTCAATAATTTCACTCTCTGGTGTTGTACAGATCAGAATGCCAATGGGCTGCCACACTTCTCAGAGGAGGAACATTTAATAAATACCAAGCTGTTGTGATGGCTTTGGGAAGGCTCCCTTTCTGGGCACCTCCTCTTTGGTCATGGCTCCCCACAAGAGCTGCCTGAACCAAAGAGCTGACCTGTGCTGGGAGGGTGGTGGCAGCACCAGCCTCCCCACAGCACTGCCAGAAGTACCCACAGTTTTCTTCATGCTACGCTTGACATCAGAAGGAACCATATCCTTTAGTCCTTAATTAGAAATAGACACAGACGGCTCAGGGGACAGCCTAGGAGCAGAGCAATAACCTTACCTGAAATACCTGGGACTGGATTTAATCTCTTACAAAGTCCACGGAGTTATGTAGTCTCAGGCTAGGCTGAAAGCAATCGTATAAAAAGCCTAAAATTTTAAGTGTTGAGGATTCTCTTTCCCTCTTTTCTTCTTCTTTTTTTTTTTTTTTTTCTTTTCCAAAGCACACTATTTTTCTGACTCAATTTGCCCTCCCTCAGACATCACTATTTGGAACAAGTGGAATAAAAAGGTCTAACGTCCATGATCACCTGGATAGAGACAATAATACACTAACATGTTCTCCTGTCCTTCAGCCATAGGGAATACCCCCAAGTTTTGCACTCCAAAGAAGATGTCACTTTAAACAAACTGAAGCACTGCACCTTTACTGAAGTATCACCCACTTTCACAGTTGTATTGTGAGCATTAATGATACTGCTCAATTTTTCCAGAAACCACAAAATCACCACATCCCCAAAGGGAGATTCAGAAAAGATACAGTCATTTGGCCACCAGATCACCATCCTCTAATACCTGGCAGCTTTGAGACAGTAAAGGACCTGGGTAGGTAAACTGGGGGCAAGATCACTGGTGCTCCCCTTGCCTCCTATCAGTTTATTTTTTGTAACACCCCCCACAGCCTCTTTCAAACCCCCTATGCACATAAATATTGTAATATAGATATAGCAGAAGCAGCTTATTTATTTGTAGTTGATGTTTGTGACCCAGGAGTTTGATCTCCTTTGCCCCAGCAGCTACACGTTGTACTTCATACAAAACTTTCTGAAGTCTAGACTTATTAAAAACAAAAGCAGAGCTGATGACTCACAGTGACATGGAAAGATCTCTTAAATTAGCAAAATCCCAGTTCCTGTGGGCTTCCTGTGAGAAGACCTAAATGCTTCTTGCAAAGGCTGAGCTGTTTTCCCAGATGTTGTCAGCTCACGCCCAGACATCCTCACTTGGGCCCAAACTGACCCTTCCTTTCTCATTACCAGATGAAGAGGCTCTGTGTGAAACACCGTCAGATGGCATCAGCCCCTCCCATCACTGTGGAAATAATATCACTTCCAGTCCCCCAGGTGCAGGGTTTAACTATCCCCAGGGTGTGTGCAAAGTTGATCATCTTCCAAATGAAAACAAAACACAAAACCAATCAACAAAAAACAAACAAACAAACAAAAAACAGCAACAACAAAAGAAATCCAAACCCAAAATTCACACTGCAAGTGACTAAAAAGTATGGCAATTTCAAGGATAAAGCTAGACCCATGAACAAGTTTTCTGTGAGG